ATCACAGGTTAACCAATTAGAAGTCTCAAGGGGCTTACAGGAACACCCAATCACAGGAAGGGGTTTACAAGGTCCAGTGAGAAACACCTCAGGACACCTTCCCAGGATACTCCTGCATGGGATAACACTTGTCGTGGGGGGTGTTGGGAAGAAGAAGCATGTGTTTGCAAAGAGACCACCAAAAGCCATTTTAAGACATGTTTAAACAACAGTTTTCCCATATAATGCAGGTTTAGTGCCACACCCTTGTTGCCAAGCAGGCCAATGGAATCCTGGGGTGCACTAGGAGGAGCATTTCCAGCGGGACAAAGGAGCTGATCCTGCCCCTCTACTCAGCCCTAGTGAGGCCACAACTAGAGTACTGTGTCCACTTCTGGGCTCCTCAATACAGGAGAGACATGGAGCTCCTGGAGTGGGTCCAGAAGAGGGCAACAAAGATGATTGGGGGACTGGAGCATCTCTCTTATGAAATGATTCAGAGAGATTTGGGCCTGTTCAGCCTCAAGAAGAGATGACTGAGAGGGGACCTCATCAATGTCTCTAAGTATCTGAAGGGAGGGTGCCAAGAGGATGGAGCCAGGCTCTGCTCAGTGGTGCCAAACAATAGTACAAGAGGCAATGGGCAGAAACTGATGCACAGGAAGTTCCCCTCAAATATGAGGAAGAACTTTACTGTGTGGGTGACCAAACACTGGAACAGATTGCCCAGAGAGGTTGTGGAGTCTCCCTCACTGGAGGTGACATTCAAAAACTGTTTGGACTTGAGCACTAGATGAAAAGGGGCTGCTCCTTCTCCCTTGGGTACATCCAAGTTGCAGCCCAAACTTGTTTCTTATGACACCTGTCATGCACATGACAGTTTCAAAGACACACTCTTGGGAATTTCCACATCCTCATGAATCTCAGAAAGTTAAGTCCCTCAGAACTCAATTCAGCTCTCTTTTGGACAACCAGAAGATTCCCATTGGCCGCAGTCAAGATTGAACTGACAGTGATACTTGCTGCCAAGAGCAGCATTTCCTTTTACAGTGGATGGGTAACGTGGAAGCTTTCAATCATAGGAAACAACTGGAAGCTGTAATGTTCTGTGCTGTAAGTATCCCCAGGAATTTGCTTAGGAAAAGGAAGCTGAGGATACAAAAACAGTCCTTTGTTTTAGTCTTCAAGTACCATAACAAATTAATTATGTATTGCAATATTTAATCTCACTTTTCCCAGTAAAGTATTTTGTGAAGCTTTTTTTTAATATAATACATCTGCTAGCTTCTGCACTTTGTTTCTCACTAAATCCCTCTCTCTCCTATTTAAATGAATTAAAAATATATCCTGTTCTGAGCTATTGACACATCTCAAGGTAAGGCACTTCTCTGACTTGGAAAGTATTACATCCCACTGGTATCTGGCTCTCGTGGACATGTGGTTCCTTCCCACTCAGCTTTCAGTGGACTGCTTCAGTGGACATCATTAAAGCAAAAAAATGATAACATCCTGGACAAACTGCATGTTGAAGCTTAAAAAATCCTGTAAAGGGGTACAGCCTAATACTGTTCCTGTGGCTCACTCTGTCCCAGATGCAGTTTCTTAGAAGATCCAACCCTATGTGGCTGACATTTTTCCATGGCCTACCTCTATCCTGCATTAAACAAACAGAGAAAACACCTAGAGCTGCCTTGAGAAGTGGGGCTGAAGAGGAAAGCAAAGACCTTCCACAGAAAATTAGGTAACAAATTAACAAAAAAATATTAAATACTAAAATAGTTCACACTTCACTGGAAACAGAAATGGTAACATAATACCAACATGCTATAGCTGGTGGGCTTTGCACTCTTAATTCCCTCCTTAGGCAGAGTTCTCTGATTCAACCACATTTTCCAGGGCACAACACAGCCTCCTTACTTGGAGAGATCTGGTTCATTACAGGAGCCAGAGGTCGACATAGGAGTGTGCCTTTTCATCAGAAAACTTGAACACAAAGTTTCAAGTATACTTTTGTACCCCAAATTAATTTGTTCTGAATACTGGCATTTTACTTTTCCATAGCTAGCAATATGAAGAATAGTAGATAAATAGACAGGTACATAGACAGGCAGATGGACAGGCAAATTTTCTACCAAACATTTTTTCATGTACTGTTTTTGAAAAGACAGTTTTCAAACATCTATAAAAAAGACTGAATATCAGAGAATAATCAAAATTTGAAATGAGCAGCAATTAAAAGTCAAATTACAATGTAGAGATTAATAATCCTCTGGCCACACGTCTGTTTATGCTAAAAACACTGTAAGCTTAAGGCATGGTCCTGCAAGACTAAGAGGAAGCTGAATTGTCACAGAAGTAGCAGACGTGCCTGAATTCATAGTCCTCGAGGTGCATTTGATGTCTTGCTATGTAAATGTTTTTCTGATCCACAATAACAATAAAACAAATGGTGTACCACATGCCATTCTCCAACTGATAGTTGGGTCCTTTTGTGACATTTTTACAGGACATATTTGAACACAATGCTATATTGTTCACATGTCTGTACAGTTTTTAGATCAGGACTGGCTGAGCAGCTTGGAGGAGAGAAACAATTAGTTCATTTAGAAAATTATGCCCTTGCAAAATTCATCATATCATTCCTGGATGTTTTATGCAGGCAGCTAAAGTGATATAGAATCAACTATGTGGAAAGAAAAGATAATTTCACTTCAGAACTCATACTCTCAGTTGATGGGAATAAGTTCTTCTTCTCTCGCATCTTTAATTCTTAGTTTGAAAATTATTGTCTGGGAAATCTGACTCCAGTTAGCCACCTGCCAAGTATTGACTCATATCTGTGTACAAGATGTTCCCAATTCTTGTGAGTGTATTTTTATCTCTTTGTAAAACATATCACATCACCCACTTTCTGAATACACGGTAAGAAAGCAGGAAGGACCCCCAGCATAACCAAAGAGTCAGATTCTGGGGGTTCTTTCCCTCCTGCTTTCTTCGGATTGCATCTTTCCACTCTCAGTGCCTTTTGACAGAACTGCTCTGTATCATTTAGAAGCATTGTCATGGACTCCTAAGTACCACTAAGTTATATGGCAAATCTCCAGTCCTTGTTTTTTATAAGATGCTGATGAATTTGTCTGCAATGAATATATGGTGTCTGGATAACAAGCTGGCTAAAATGGCTCAGTTCCCATTCCTATAGTACCAGGTGAGAGCGTTTCTCTAGTGATGACAGCATTCAAACATAGTAACATTTATGGTATCAGCCTTACATTGATGCCACTTTCCAGCACATTCAATGACATCTGGGCATTCTTGAAACTAATTTGAGCTCTTTTGTGTGTGTATGTGGGCACATGTGTGTGTACATACTGACTGAGAACAAGGGAGAAAGGAAGAGTTGATGTTTTACATTTAGTATTGTTGCTGAAAAGGTTCGACTGCTAATAAACACTAAACATCACTTATAATCAATCACTTAGGTTGGCCTTGCACTTGAATTTGGTTCAATCTCCCATCAAGGCACTTATCATGCCAGAGGGATACCCTAAGGGGAAGAGGAGCACTGCAGGTAGTCACTGCAAAGTGCAGATGGAGCAGGGCAGTTGTTGCACTCAGAACCCTAACATCTACCACTGGAAAACAGTCAGGTAAGTTCTCTTTAACCTCAAACTAGCACATCAGTTAATTTACGCAGACTAGGAAAGAAATTCCTGTAGAAACTTGCAATTTGTTTCTTGTTAGTCCATTGCTGACTTACCTGTTGGCTGTTCTTGCAGCATAGCACTCATGGAAACCTGAAGTCACACTGTTAGGACTTGCAGCCTTTCATCTGGTGAGCTGCAAAAGACCCTGGGATTTTCGTAAGCCAGAAATAGCTGGAAACTTGTATTAAGGTGGTATGGGAGAGCACCCCAGATCTCCCTGAAGTGCATTGATACCCATCTAGTTATTCAGCAGAAATGTGATAAGTCAATATGGTTGTGACTGTGCTGAAAAAGCAATTGCTATGTAAACAAGACTGTCCACACCACTTAATGAATCTAGCCTTTGGTCCTCAATATCCCTGAAGTGCAACTTCATCGAAATGATACAGATGAAAGGAATGAACCTAAGTGCTGTTGAAAAAAAGACCAAAAGTCCCTTCTGCTAAACTCTCAAACAGATTAAGTCCTGTAGGTCTGATATTTTGGGGTTGCCCAAAGGAGATTGCTTCAGAGATAAGAGTGGACTTGATGGGTAGGTTTGTTCATAAGGAGAGGTCGATATACCCACCTCCTTACCATTCTTCCTTGCCCTGTGGCCAACTGTGGCTGACAAAAAGTACAAGGACAAGACAAGCACAGAGTGATGCATGCATCTGGAAGAAATGGCTGCAGTTTCTAACTATAGATCAGCATAGCCTGACTTTCTCAGCGAGTACCTGGTTTTGAAATTTGGACTTCTTAAGTTATTCAGAGGATTGAACACTGAAAGCAGAAAAGAATGGAAAAATCAGAGAAAACAAAGTCTGATGTCTCTTGAAGAGCAACTTGAGACTCTGGCTGCCACTTCATCCACTGGTTCCATTTGGCAGAAGTCAATTATATAATGACTCCGCAGCCCACAGGACTGCTTTAGAGCATCCTCAGATTGCTTTCATGACCATCCTTCTATGGAGTGCAGAGTGTCTTCCTTGCTCTCTTCTATCATGATCACCTTCAGTCCTAGCTCTTTCTTTAGGAGAGATACAGGAAAAAAAACCAGTCTTTCCTGCCAAGGAACAATACATATTCCCATTATGTAAAGAGCAGACGTATGGACTTTGCTTCCACAAAACAAATAACACTTTCTTTAAGCAGCTGTATCTGAAAGGGGTGTATGTTAGAACCAAGAAAGAAAAAATAATTAAATGTGAAATTTTCCACAGTAAATAATGTCCCTGGTAAAAAGCTTAAGTGACAGAGCTTTGAGAGACTGAAAAAGCTTATTAACTGAGATAATGATGCCTGCAACTATGTATCATTATAATGACAGCTTACCACGCAAGTCTTGCAGTACCAATCATCAGCAGTCCCAGCCTTAGCACACTGGCTGGCCAGGTTTCGGCAGCAGCTGCAGTGGTAACATGGCTGGAGTTGCTCCTGTGAGATTTGGAGATAAAAAAAGAACACCCTATCTGACTCACTGAGTTAATAACTGTCAGCTCTGCCAACACTGTATTCAGTGTCTGGGAAGCTGATAAAGTAAATTTCTGCCCATATTGGTAATGGCAGTGATTCACTGAAAGCAGTTGGAAAGATGTTAGAATCATGTAACAGGATTAGGATTTCTCTACCTGGCAAAAGAAAGAGGGATTTAAAGTACCACAAATTCTCCCTGAAATCTTTCTTTAGCATTGGTTTTCATTTCCATTTTTAGTTGGATCTCTGTTCTCAACCATCTTTCTTTCTGTTTCTTTCTTTCTTTTCTTTTCTTTCTTTCTTTCTTTCTTCTCTTTCTCTCTTTCTTTCTCTCTCTCTCTCTTTCTCCTTCTCTTTCTCTCCTTTTTTTTTCTTTTCTCCTTTAGTCTCTCTCTCTCTCCTTCTCTATCTTTCAATTGGTCTTTTTATCATGCTCTATTTTTGTCTTTCCTCAGAAGTGTGTGTGACGGGAACCCAGGAGTAACTGTTATAACACACATGTGCATCCTCACGGTGTTTTGCAGATCACTCTTTTCCCTTGTTGCAAGGGAGGATGTGTTTCAAAAGTCAATTTTAGAAGAACTAACTAAGGTACAAGAAAAAGATTGATTATACCAGAGTGTATGACCTTGGGTTTTAACCTGTTGATAGTGATTATTGCTGTGAGCCTGAAGTTTTGCCAGCGTGACTCTACAGAAAGTTTGGACCCTGATGTTTCCCTGGGACATACCTAAACCTATTCCCCTTCCTGAGAATACATATTAGTTTATTAACGAATTATTTAACACACCAAGAAAATAACTGATATGTAGAAATATGATATTAGATGTGAAGGAGCTAGAACAGAAAATCCAAAGGACTAATGGTGAAGGTCAGTGGAGAGGAAGTTACAGCATTCAGACATAGCAAACAAACACTGATTTTATTTCAGATGGGCCTGCAGGAAGGAAGGAACCTAAAGGATAGAAGATAATGTGGACATGGAGTTGAACTGAAATTGAATTTAAGTGCTCCAGGAAGGTGGTAGAAGTGCCTCAATGAGCATCTGCCACAGAAGCACTAGAAATTGAACTCTCATGACTCTCCTTGGGAAAGTTGGATGTTCAAAAAGGGAAACCTTTCCTTCTCTGGTTATTTCTTCTGCTGCGACCCCGCCCCCATCCCCCACCTCGAGCAAAGGCTCTGGATATCAAGTATGACACGATATTGAAATACGTGGAGGTCCAGGGATCAGTCATCAGTGGAGTCTAACTAGTATTCATTAACTTCCAGTAACTTTGTTAGTTCCATCTTCAGCAGTACTTCTGAAAAGAGTTGGGCTGGCCCAACACAAAATCTTGGCTTATTCCAGTGTAGATCAGCACAGGTTGAATTTTACTAATTTAGGTGAGACTGGAGACCCAGAAGTCTGCCTAGGATGCATTTCCGTCAAGTCAAAACCCCAAAGTAAATGTTTATAAGGGCCTGGCAATGGGGGGGGGGGAGGTTTGGTGCGGGTGGGTTTTTTTGGTTGCTTTTTTTCTAAAAATTAGGTAGAAATAACAAAAAAAGTATGCAGTTCGGTTCATTCGAGGTGGTATAACAGCAACAGACAAGACCAATGTCTCACAACAACATACCAACTAGGATTGTGCTCAGTACATAGCATTCTTCAAATATTGAAACAGAACAGTGTTTAGACCCTGAGTTTGCTCAGAAACACTGGAATGAGAAAAATACTGAAAAAAAATAGTTGGCTACCACTTAAAAGGCTTCTGTTTCCTTGGAGTTGGGAGAAAATATGTTACTAGAAGTAGTAATTAGTGAAATTATAGAAAGAGAAAAATTGAAGTCTAGGTTAGTTAGATGCATCTATTGCCCACTAGCTGGAAAAAAAAAAAAAAAAAAAAAAGAAGTGGAAAAAAAAGGTGCACTTTTCTGATTTTTTTTTTTTTTTTTTCAAAAATTATCTTGTGGCTTCAGTGAGGAACTAGAAAAATTCCTCACCTTGGCACATCCATGGCATATGGTGCTCCGTGATTTTTTCCCATGTGTCTTACTTTGACTTTTGGCCATGTAAACCTAAAAAAGAAAACAAAACCCCAAACAAAAACCTGAAGATCTATTGGCAAAGAACACATAGTACCAAATAACATTTGAGGCTCATGTGGTAGAAGAAAACGGATCAACAATTGGTAAATTATAGGTTTGACACTAATGGGGGAAAATGTTGTAACACACTTCGCACGCTCAAATATTCCCTGTTTTCATGTCTTTGAATGGGACCAAGTTCTTGAGCTCTTGTATGAATCTACTCATTACAGTTCAACAGCATCAAATGCCAATGCAGAATGACATTGACCAGTTCCCTTTAAAGTATCTTTACTGGGAAGTGAGAATATTTACAGATTAACTGAAGGCTAATCATTGGACTTCCTCAGCGAAAAAGAAAACTTTGGTCATATTTTGATTTTTTGACTTGACTTTCTTTTTCTTTTTGGCGGGGGGGGTGGGGGGTGGGGATTAAAAACATTTGATTTGGCCTGAACTAAAAGTGCATACTTCACACATATTTCTAACCAACCCCCAAAAACAGTCTCTGGCTTTGAACGTGTTGAACAGGAAGCCATTTAATGTTGGAATGCTTGCTTTGCCGGTCCAAGAAACACACGTACTTATTACTCCTGGGCTATCTAAAAAGTTTGAGGGTGAAAAAGTTTAATTTATATGTAGAAACTTGTTTCCTGTTGTGTTTTTTCCCCTTGTGTGCCAAGTCTGTTTTTTAAACTCTGTGATAGGAAACACATTTCCCTTTTTCTCCCTTTCGTCCCACTTTATTTACCCAGCTGTATAATTCACTTCAATTTATAGTTCATACTCTTACCTGGCTTGAAGTCCAAAGACACAGGGAGAGAGAGGGAAAGATGGATGTTGTGTTTTCATGGTTACTGAGGAAAGGGAAGAATCTGGGTGGATGTGAAGCTGCCTTTATATCAATATCAAGGGAGCGGTGGTGGGAGACTTCTCTTTCAGGATGTGCCACAGTATATGTTGAAGAAAGGTGAGGAAGAGGGCACAAGGAAAATTGTGGCAGTGTAGAGTGTCCCATGATTATTGAATGAAGTTATGCATGTTTTAATTCCGTTTACTTTTGAGAAGAGATACCCATCTCAGCAATTTTGCTCACTTTGGAACTACTTGTATGTAGAATCATGAGTAGCTAAATAAAATTAAGAGAAGTAAAACAAAACAAAACAAAATTTAAAAAAAAAAAAGTAAAAATAAGACCAGTACACAGATCTTTGGTGTACCTAATACACATATTTATGCATGAACTCAGCAAGGGGATTGGAAGAAAAACCTTTCTGAACAAGAACATTTTAAAATAAAACTGTGCACATAAATTAAAATTTCTACAATTAAAACAAAACCAAGGAGTGCTTGTAGAACTGTTTTTTATTTTCATTAGTTTAGGGTTATTGTTTCAACCTTTGCTGTGGAAGCAAAGCGATCGCTAACAAAAGCCATTGTGTTGATAACTATACATATCTATCACAGCTAAAGAAAACTGCCGGGCAACTTTTGTTTACTACTTAAATTTTTAAGACTACTACAGCCTTTAGAATATTTTGAGGTATTTTGGTTTTTTGATTTTTGCTGTCCTAGCATTTCAATATTTCAATATTTAAAAAAAAAAATCATAGCTATTAAGTGGAGGGAATGCACCAAGAAGAAGCCTGCCTGGGGGTGAAGTGACCTCTTCCTACAGAGGTCACTTGGTTTATGTTAATAGCCTCAGATTAAAGTTTAGCACAAACACATATCATTTCTTCTGTATGTGCAACAGATCCTTCACTTCCTTATACCTCCATTGCTAAGAAAGCCTGAGAAGTCAGCCCAAACCAATCCCTGTTCCTTCAAGACTAGGTGGCTGGGAGATACAGGGTGCCGAGCACCATTACCTCCACAGGAAATCACTGCTGCAATGAGCTGTCACGGACCGCCGCACTGCACCGCTTCCACACGGATTGGTAGAAGGCCAAGCACAGGACTGAAGAGATTTCACTTGGTATCGCCCACATTTCTGCCAATATTCCTGGCCAGACGGCCCACCACACCCTGGCTGGCGCTGAGGCAGGATTATCAAATCTCTCTGGGAAGCAGAAATACTTGAAAAAGATTGTTGCATTTGTTGCACCTTTTCCCATAGATCTGCGAGTGGTTGCTTCCTAGAGTTGATGGCATATCCCAGATGGCGGCAGTCTGAGGAGGCTCTGCTGTTTGTCGGCCACAGTGGGTCTAGAATTTGAGATCTTTCATCTCCCCAGTCCATGTCTTTTTCTGAAGAGAAGGTTCAAGAACAGAAAAAAAATTGTTCCTCATTTCTGCCAGAACGGCACAATCCTTGCTACAATGTCTCTGAAGCAAAGTCTCATGCTCGTTGGAGGAACTGTTCTGCCTCTCCTCTCTTCAGGGATTTGGGATATGGGAAGGAAGGAGGGCTGAGTCGTCAGTGAACATCACCCTGCTCAAAGAGAAAAGATGTTGCATTTAACTCTCAGTGTTTGGATGCCAAATGTTCTGCAAGGGACTCACCCAACCTCTGAACAGCAAAATAAAGAGAGACTTCCTTGGTCTGTCAGAATACTTGCAAAACAAAGTTAAATTATTACTTTTTCTGACTAAATAATATAAAAATGAGGCACTTAGTGCACCATTTCAAAGGCTGACTGCTAACCACCAGTAATAAATATATTTTGCTGGTAACTGAATGCAGGAATTATGGTAGATCAAATCACTACTTGGGGCCTGGTTGAGGCATATTACAATGAAGAATTGGCAGAAGTAGAATGAGCTTCCTTTATCCAACTAATGTGCTTTTCATCCACCATCCCTTTTATTGTCTGAATAGGTTGTAAGTATTTTCTCTCCTTAGATCTTGCTCATTTTTCTGAGAACCCTTAAAAAATCCTGTTTCATCCCTGCTTTAGGAACTCTCAATTTTATCTCTCTAGCACCAACTACAGCCACGTTACTACAGATTTCTGCCCTGGGAGTGATCCTACACCAAATGGCATGGGGTGGTTTGCATCCATAATGCTCAGGGCTATGCTGTGGAGCACCTCACCTACTGTCACCTCTGGAGTCCATAGGAAGCCCCCAAGGACCTAAGACATAATTATTTTATGTTGTGACCTTTCAGAACATCTCAGACTGCTGCAGCAGTGTTTTCATAGCATGATGTCAAATTAATGCACAGCATGGAGCATGGTATGAGTCTGTGTGAGGGTACCCGAGAGCATTAATTTGCTAGAAAGACATAGAAAAACTACATAGAACTGAACAAGCTGAACTAGTGTTTTCCGGAAATAAATTGTCCCCAAAATAATTAGTGGATTTCATCTCAGGGAAGACTAGATTTATTCCAAAGGGCAGCCCAGGACTCCGGTATCCATGGAAGAAAATGAATAGAGGTCCAGAGCCTGAGAACAGGCTGAATACCTGGGTTACAGTATGGACACATCCACAGTCTCTGGCATTTCTAACTAAACCCTAGTTCTCTCAACCCTTCTTCCTAATTAGCCACAAGTGTTCATGCAAATGACAGCTGAGCACATCCCTGTCTGCTGAGGGGCTCTGCATGATTTCTGAAAGCTTCCAAAAGGTTCAGTGGTTCAGAATGTGTTCCATTCCCTCCTAGCAATGCAAAAACGAAAACTAGTGGGTTTTTTTCATAACTTTTTTGTCCATATTCCAAAAAAAAAGAAAAAAAAAGTTGATCAGAATTTGGTGTAACAAACATCTCCTTCCATTAGTTTTTGTTTAATCCTCGTAGGGTCATTCCAATGTTGGTCACTATTGTGCAAGCAAGTCTAGCTACCTGCACCAGTAAGAGGGAGTTGAGAGCACAGGAGCAATGTTCTGACAGGCCTTTGGCTGTCTGAGCCTCTCTAGTTTTGGTCTGACCCTTTCAAAACCTCAAGTGTCTGCCTCTGTTCTCAGCAAAGTTAGTAGTAACAGTCCCATTAATTTCCACATTTGCTTGATCTGTGTCAAAGCACACATTTCATAAGGAAGTCACTGGAGGTTTGTGAAAAAATTATTTGGAGAAACAGTGTCCAGAAAGAGGTCCCCCTTAAATCTGGGACAAGGACCTTGTACAGGCACATTAAAACTGAAGGTAAGTTTTCCCTGACTGTAATGCAAGTGGAAGCAGACAGTCACACAGGGCTTTTGGAAGTCACTTATCACCAGTTAAGGTGTAAAGCCTAAACACATACTCAAGAGTGCGTGTTTGCTGATAAAGCCTAGGAAACTAAAATCCTTAGTCAGTGGTTATGAGTTTTCCTTGCTGATATTAGAAAACTTACTGATAAGGATGTAAAAACCTGGCAAAAACTTTGTAAACTTCCAAGCTAATTAGAGACTTTGTCATCATCTTCTGTATTCTATTGGTATTAGCCTAAGAAACAGTGTCTTTACATCCATTCTTATGAAAGACTGCAAATGTAGCAATTCCCTTGCATGCATAAACTTAGATCCTGGAGGTGGCAGGCTGTGTGCCAGGATTCGCAGATTAGACAGGATTTATGTCTCTTATCTAACCAACCTGAGCTCTAGTGGTCCACTGAAAAACAAAATACACCTTTCCAAAACCTTCTCAGTATGCCTTTCTTCAAGTTGACTACATAATACCAGTAGGAAACAGAAGACTGTTCTCATTCTGCACAGTTCTCAGTGACTGGAAGTCATCTTCAGTCATATATACTGTATAGAGGAAGACACAGTTTACCATGCAAGAAATGGAATGCCTGAGTTCTGCAGGCACTTAATGAGAATCGTGTGTAACTTTTAAAATACCTTTTATTCTTTTCTTCCAAGGTTGTGGAAAGTGTAAACAAATTTTAATGATTCCAGGTCATTCACTTCAGCTTTCTCAAACCCCAGAGCAAACCTTTTAACTCTACTAAAATTATCTTCATTTTCCAAATCTTGCTATACCTGTATGTCTGTTGATTCCCTCACTAGTGTATTTCACAAAAAAGAAAGAATTAGTTTTACATCATTAGTATAAAGACTCTAGGATGTCTATAAGAAAAATAAACTTTTGTTAATCCTATGTCTATGGAGAGAAGCCTAACGAAACTTTTTGTATAACCTCTTCATTGCTTGCAATTTACTTTGAAGATTAGAAATGGAAACATTTTTATAGGTAGTAGATTCTGGGGAAAAGAAAGTGATTTTTGCTTTGAATCCAAAGGACCAAGAGGCATTTCCATTAATTTTGGTTGAACTGTCAAAAAAATAATCCTGAGGAATTTTAAGAACCAAAGCATGTAATTCCCTCTGCCTCCTCAAACACTTGAGGTGGATATTTTTCAACGCAAATTTATCAAGAGTGGTCTTTCTACTGCATATAATAATGTCACTTTTTTTTGTTTTGGGTGAGTATGCAAGAATACACTGTACATGTGGACAATTTCACACATATAGTATCAGGCTCTGTTTCTGTCTGAATAAGACTGTACTTTACAATTAATTTTACCTCTAGATATCTCTGAGTGTTCTTGTGTCTTTCTAGGACCTCACTCACTCTTAAAAAACATTACCTATAAATCCAAGAAACTGATTTCTTTCTGTAAAACCTTTGACTGCTTCCTGTTAGTAGTATTTCGAGAAAAGGAACTTGATAAACACTTTCATGTTCTCTGTACTTTGCATGTTTATACATATCTGCAGATACATTTTACATCAATGACTTCATTGTTTATCAAGGCAAAAAAAAAAATCAGCCAATCCATGCATTAATTATCTTGTTTACTCCTACTCCTTTTTGACTTGTGAGTCTAGGTGGGATTTGGGTTTCTATACTGTTTTATTTATAGATTATGTAAACATTACAATTTTCACTGTATTTGCACCACCTCTGCAGAAGTTTCCCTAAGTCTCAAAATAAATAGTTTTCTGTATATTGCCAAAGCACCATTTAAATCTAGGTTGGCATTTAAAAGTCATTCACATTTACTGTTTGTCAGTGACTTCCCATCACTTTTCCTCAGTTTAAATGTAAAAGGATGCTGGTGGTTTTAGCTGTCAGGTCACTGAGTTGTTTCTCGGTTTGAAAATAAGGTGGAGTTCTTCCTGGCTCATGTATCATCACCTCTAAACCAGCCCCAGTTGCAGTAAGACATTAATGTAGAAACCATGGGGAGATCTGGAGAAGCCAAAATATCAGGAAAGCACCACAAGGTGACAATCATTTATAACAACAATGTATGTTATTTGTGGTTGGGTAAGTGCACAAACAGTGCACGGGGATAAGATTACTAGCTTCTACTTATCAACCATACACACATGACCCATGGGACTGAAAGAAAAACAATATTTTACCTGTAAATGCATTAAATTTTTTTAAGCCAGAAGGAGACAAAAACCATGGCCTATACCAGCATTTTCAGAGAAACATTTCAGAAGATAGAACTCTGTGTAGCCATAAATACATTGTTCTGACAGAAGAGCTCCTCTCCTTCATAAGCTTCTACTACTCTCTAGCAAATACAATTAATTTAACCTTGATAACACAGTTCACAATAATTTTCCTTTCACCAATACATATACCATTAGGCATCACTACATTTGTCTTCATTCATCTAACAGATCTGCACTTTAATATTTTGAGGTTTCCTGGTGAATGCTAAGGTGAAGATGGGCAAAGCAGTTGAACTGAAATAAAACGTCTTTGCCTATTCTTATCATCAGTACTGCCCAAAGTTTGCCTTGCTTCCTGAAATGTTAGATTGGTCTTTTTTTACAAATGTTTTGAATTTTGTGCTTTTAGATCTGGGATAGACATGAAAATAAATGACAACATTACAGAACAAAAGCTAAGGTGCGGTAATGCCAACTGGGATCAGAAATATGGGAAATCTGTCAAAAAATTCTTATATTCAAATCACTTCCTCTCCAATTTTGCATTATTGAGACATTTGGCTTATTCAGATAAGGTCTAAATAGGAGGCTGGGCTCTCCAACATGTGTCTGAAACTAAAGTGAAGTTGCCAACATTTTGAGACAAAAAATATTTGGTTGCTAGTTCACTTCAAATGTTATAGGAAGAATATTCTAAAAACTTCGATATGCATCTGCTGTATAATACACTGATTGTCTGAAATCTCATTATCAGTCACCTTTTTGCTAAATGGTAGAATAAAACCTGAATGTGAAAATAAAATCTCATTAATGCAGTCCCTGTACCTACTCTGGGAGCAGCTACTGAATTTTAGGGAATACATTATGAGGAAAAGTCCTGCTCAGAGCACCATGGGGATAGAGTGATGCTTAGCTAGGAGTCTTTCTAATGACTTTGCTGAATTTTAGATCAGCCCATAAGATGTCAGGTTATGTGTATTTTGGAATACAAATGCCATATAAATGCATGTGTACACTGTGCATTAGGATCTGCAAAAGTACAGATAAAAAATACAGATTGGAGAGAAAGACAAATGTGATGGTAATTAAGTCAGA